CCTTGGGTCCTGTCCTGTTTTTGTTTGCCTGCTGCGCTCCTTGCTGGTGGTCCTGTGTTGCTGGGTCGTTAGGGGGTTGCGTTCAATGGTCGGTGCCTTTCCTTGGTGATCTGGTTTTTTTTATATTAAGTTATTTCATTTTAAACTCTTTTGATCCACTTATGCATGAAATTGATGTCAAATGTAATCAATCATACTCTCCTTTTTTTGAAAAGGACAAACCCCTGGCATTTTTTAAATATATTTATGAACATTTCTTTCTGTAAAAGCAAAGACATCTAAAATATGAAAACAAAGATCGACAAGGACAAGGTAAAGAAACGTACTCTGAAAGCGATTATCTTGTTGTATTTGTTTTCTTAGCAAATTATCTCAAAATTGAAGGATTGTTATTTTCCCCCAAACTTTAAAGAGTACCTCGTAATAAAGCCACGAGCAAATCTGCTCAATAAGTTTACCGATATTCCTTTCTAATGAAGCATATAAAATTTCTTTAGCAGCAGTTGTGTTTTGGGATCCTCTTGGGCTCCTTGCCGCTGGTCATTGTTGCTGGGTCATGTGGTCTTGCGTTCATTGAACGACGTCTTTCCTTTTTGATCTTAATTATCATATTTTTTGTTTTAAAACTCGGATGGATAAAAGTATATCATGATCAAGGTAGATGAAATGCGACAAATATCAGAATATTTTATGAAATTTTATCTAACTCCAAAAATATAAAAGATCAGAATTATGTTTACTGTTTGATTTTGCTGCTTCTTTCAATACTGTTTCTAAGAAATTTATGCATCATCAAAACAGCAAAAGTTATGAAGAAGTGCAGATGATACATATATATTAATAATAGTATATTTTTAGTTGGCGCCGAAAAATCTTTAATAAACACTATGGAAGTTTTTGTTTACAATTCTACGCAAATATGTCTTGTCTAAACATTAACATGGAAAAATAGTCTGGTTTGAGTCTAATAAAAAGCCATTCTGTTCTCTGTCTTATTTGATTGAAACACTAAAATGTTTGATGATTTGGTGTATATTTTTTAACAGATATTAATCAGATATTTTGCAAGGTTTTTTTATGTATGCCCAGGCTGAACTGACATGTGTCTCAGATGTGCAGCTAAGAATGTTGGTGAATAAGTAGCAGATCTGAAACCTAAATCCACGAGGATGATGTTAAGGTTCATGCGTCACATACAAATGCTGTCAATTCAGTAGGGCAAGAGGCCGATAATAGTAAAACAGATCAAACTGTAAAGAGACTTGACAAAATGGATATGTGACTTATGGTCTTTCTGGGTCGTATGTTGGGGTTGCGTTCATTGAACGCTACCCTTCCTTGTTGGTCTTGTTTTTCATATTTTATGCTCTAGAGCTGAAGGTGGTCAGTGTTAAGCTGAGCTCAAGGTTGAGGAAAACTCCATTTTTATCAAGAAAGTCGTATGTGATGGCCAACAGTACATGCTTGCTTGAAGGAAAAAGTTAAGAAAAAGAGTTTGAAGAAAGTTCTTTTTAGATGGATACAGGTAAAAGATTCCGGTTATAATGTTTAAGTATCAGATGAGGTGGAGCTGGGAATAGTAATCCTTAATCAACTCAATGTTTGTGATGACTCACAGCGACGAAAAGAGATTGGTGAAGTAACTCAGGAATTACGCCATATAGAAGGGCAGTATGGATATATTAAAATGTGTCCCAGATACGTGGAAAATGCCGTACATATGTTAGATTGTGTCTTGCAAGACAATTATATAGAGATGGGGGACATTCAGGATAACGAAAAAAAAGGTCAGGTTGGTTGATGTACTATTTATTAAGAATGTAAGTTCGAAGTCAACTTTTACAGTAAATGGTACAATGCAGGGCAATTTACGTCAGACAGTTGTGGATACTGCGAAGCAAGCGACTATAATCTCAGTTGACATATTGCAGCAGCCGGATACAGCACCAGCTTTAATTAAGACAGTTAAATTAAATGTCACGATTAAGAACAGCTCGTTCACTATTTATCGGAGAAGATGTGTAAGCGGCAGGATAGCTAAGTCGGTAGAGCGACAGAACGGTGTCCCAAGTGTCGCTGATTCAAGTCCTGGTCAGCTGCACCTTTTTCTCAACCTGTGAAATTTGGTGCCCAACGTTCGCGGTGACTTAATATAGCTCAGAAATTAATATTGCTCTGTCGCCCTGAGCACTTTGAGGACGAATTTCAGTATAAAGCCGGGCACTATGTGACTGTTGAGAACATGGGGGGTTAAGTTTAAATTATGAAGAAGAAGTGTATGTAGCTCCGATCACGGATTGTATGTTACTAGTACTTAGTATGTATTCTTAAAGAAGCATCAGGTAAGGATTTATATCTCTGAACTACTTTTGATGATTGGCGCAATGCCTTACAAATGTTTGATAGCAGTAAGGAGTAACAAAAGGCTGTCATTGCTTCTGAAAGAACCAATACTCCAGCTGTGGAATCTAAAAAGACCTTGAGAGCAGTTTGTGACCAAGGAGGGTAAATTCATTGTAGAACTTTTGGTGGGAAGAGAGTTATTGATACCAAGATCATTGTATAAAAAGCCAGATATGGTTGTAAATCATGCTAATTGCACACACAAGGACATGGCGTTGAAGGCAGGAAGTGATTTGTCAAGTATGCGAAGTCAATGTTCTTTCTTTGGATATGATAACCTACAATAAAGATTTAGAGGGAATGGTTGCAAAAATGGAACCTTACTATGAAGCGGACCGAATGACGAAGTTGAGAAGGTACCTGTTAATCTTAGAGATCTGTACATGCATTTGACAAAGCTTTTGTTGGAGTCGAAAAGAGATCTAGTGTATGTTCTTTTAATAGAGGATGCTTTTGCAAGAAATGGCTATGATTTAAGTTTTTTCACCGGGGTACCCCCAAAAATAGATTATAGAGAGGCTAAGCCGATTATGCAGAAAATAAGACATTCTCCAACAGGGTATGAGCTCAAGAAAAAGGCTCATTTTAGAAAATGCTGAGGGCGGATTACACGAGACCTACATCCGGCTTTCGTATATGATTTTATCGGTACAATTACTGGTTTTCAAAGCTAAATGCCAATTCGTTCGATTTGAACCTGGAAAGAGACCGCCTTTATAACAAAGTATCGTCTGTCCGAATCTGAACGTATTGGGTTTGGACAATATATAATGAGTTTAGTGTTGTGTGGATTATTTTTGGAAATTGAGCTGTTATTCCTATATATTCAATGGACACATGGCCCATCACAGGACCACCGGATAGGAGTCAAGCTTAACACCAAACAGCACGGGCACACGGGACGGGCAAAAACAAACCGGATGTTATTATAAAACATAAACTGACAGAAAACAGTTGACATTTAGCCGTCCCCTGTAAGCATTAAACAGTTGACAGTAAACAGTTGGCCCCGTTTATGGTATTTCGTAGGACAGAGCAAGAGTCGGAACTACATAATACTGTAAACGAAATTTGTTTTCGAAAATCATAGGATGCTCAATACGTAGATTCTCTCTTTTGTTAGCAAAAATCTGATTTAAAACATTCTGCATGTATTTTGGGTCAATAGAACTAAGATACTCCAACATAATGTCATATTCCAAGACTGATGGGTTCCATGGAAGCTTCGCGCCCTTATTGACTGATGGGTTCCATGGAAGCTTCGCGCCCTAATAGATCTTGAGTCTCATATCTGATCATGTTTTGGACACATTTGTTCACATGACATGCAATTTCAGCCGTTGCTCGTTTTGCCTTCGGTACATTAATTACTGTTGTATTTATTTTCAAAATAATTATGTTCATTATTTGTGTTGATCGTTTTCTTTAAGGAGTTGTTGCAATGGTTTCATTAACTCTAAAGGTTTTAGAAAAAAGTGAATTATGTTGCTGATTTGAAAAGGAAAAAAAGTTTATCAAATCGCACTTCAAATGCCCTAGTCGTCTGACTTTAAAAAGTGGTAACGTTATTTTTGAAAAACAGTATCAGTGATAAAGATAAAAAAGCATTAGCTGTCCCAAAAAAATATATTTTCTTAAGGTTTCCCACTTGGTCATATGATTTTCAATGTAAATAAATGAACCGCACAATGAAGGTATGCTAAGCTCGCTTATCTATAAAAACTTTAAAAGATAGTGAACATTCGATATTGAAGTAATAAATCATGAATCTTTATGATACGAGATAACAGTAAAAAGCAATATTAACGAAAGCGTCCTCTTAATATTCTTAAATAAGAAGTTATAAAAGTCAAATACGATTTTGTAATTGCTTATTAGAAGTAAACATCATAGTTAGGACTTTGTCACTCTTATTAAGAGTTATAAAAGACTAATAAGAGTATTAAAAATTTAGACATTTTTAAGGTTTTAGTATCCCTAATAGCAGTTTTAATACCTTATTATGACTTTTTAAACTCCTAATGAGACGAAAGAGCATTTGTAGTAGTGATAAAGGCCTAATTAGTACTCTGTTACACCTTATTGTGACTTTGTTGTCTTTTATTAGGAGAAAAAACAATAAACACTTAATAAACTCCTCTTATTAGGGAAAACAAATATAATAATTTAAAGATTATAAAAAGAAGAGTATACGACATATGCCGTTTTTACTCTTCTTTTAATTAAATGTTTCAAAGTTCAGATATGGCTTTTACTTCCACTAATTAAGACTTACTTATTAGGATTGTGTTTCTCCTTATCCTGCGTTTACTCAGTTTTAGGTGTTACAAATTACTAATTAGGTTTTAGTAAGGCAAATGAGGAAATATTAAGATTTGGCACCAGGTTGCGCTTCGTTTAAAGTACCAAAATAATATTGATAGACAATTATTTATAACAAAGTTACAAATCAGTTGGGCCTTCCCGAGAAGATGATTATATTTTTCGTATGTTTCTATTCATTGGTTTGTATAAATAAATATGAAAAATTATTTTTAACATGGTTAAAACCTATTGTTAGTTAAAAATAGTTCAATCTATTTCTAATAATTTGACAAGCTATTTTAAAATCCATGTAATTCGAATATCGCCATTACATTTGGATATCTAACATCTGAACTTTGTTTTGTAATTTGTAAGTATTGTAGTTTTAATGATACATAATGATTTATAATAAGACAAAAAAGAAAAAGTAACAATTGACTACTATGACATTACATATTATTCTGAGTATGTTATTTTTGTTTATCATTTAACAATATGATATATCACTTGCAATGTTGTTACACAGTTTTTTGTCGGAGGGATTTGAATACTTCACAATCACGACATTCTTTGTTTTCATACAATATAGGTCAAATATAGAAGATTTCAAAACAGTTTACCTGTAAAGTGTTGAAACACTCATGGTTACGACTCGACAAGGGTTCAAATTCGAACTAGTTGTTCTATTGTTAAGAGGCAGAAATCTCGACCAATGCGTCAATACTTCTCTGTAAAATATTAATATTTTTGGAATCATCTATCCCAACATTTTACTAGTGAGACAGACAGTGTATCGTGTATGTCTAAGGACAACAATTAAAAAGAAATTATAGTGAATATATATTGCCAAAACAGATAAGATGGCCCCATTCGTGATTTCGAAGAAACTTGTATCATCAATGCACTGTAATAATCTAATTCCTTTTGTACATATAGAGATCATCATTTAGACGTTTTTAATGATGGCGGACTTAAAGACTAAAATGGAAGAACAGATAAAGGTACGTCATTTTTTCATCGTTGAGGATACGTTTCTCTTTAATATAAGCTCAAAATAATTTCGGGGTATACTATTATGAATTTGGTCGTCCGTCACTAAGATTTTCGCTTTTTGAAGTGATGAGAAGGAAATTATAACAACGATAACTATTAAATAACGTAGGTTAATCGGAGTCAGTTTGTTCGTCCGCCTCTCGGGGTTTTCATAATGGGAGTTACAACTTAAACAATTTTCATGGAGTCAACTTCAAAGCTTTATAAATTATATTGCTTCTGTACAAACATCATTTTACTTGACTGTCATTTTTTGTAATATTGTATACTTCATTTGTGTGTCAGAGTCAAATCGTGTACCCATATATGCAAAGTGAGTTTACTTGAACTTTTACCTGTATGACACTCTGCTGACAAAATATTAGCTGAATAAGTAGCCTTGGGAATATTAACCGAATATTAAGGGTGCACTATATCTTACACTTAATCCCACAGTGTTCCTTTGAGAATGAAATGATTATCCACCAAGCGAATTCTAATAGTTGCTATATTATTGCATACATGCAAAGGACCAACACAATTGTCTTCGATTAGATGCCACGCACAAACATAAAATATGAGAAAGGGGTGATCCCAAACAAATAGTTGAAACAACAATATGACATAAATTTCTAGTATTTGTTAACTCGTGCCTATTTGGAGTCTTTAAAACAACATGCCTCCAGATGAGCCAAAATATTTAAATGAAATTGAAAGTTAGATTTAAGATGAATAAAAAAAATCAAATTTCAAGTACTATTTTGCATGTTATGTGAGTTTTATGACTGATTGACAGAATTTATCGCGTGACTAACGAAGTCAGGACTTTTTTTTGCATATTTTTTTACATCTTTTTGGTATTTTTTTGTGTCCCATGGAATGTGTAAGTAATTGTCTTTGCTTATTTTATATATTATATTTCCGTTGTACAATACTGACGACTCAAATATTTTGTTTATTAGCTGTTTGAGGAATGGGCGTTGCAGAATAAGTTGCAGGATAAGAATGAGAGAGATAAAAACGATGCACATCAGATAAAAGAAAAGCAGGAGGAGGAAAAAGAGGTAAGGATGACTTTCATAAGAACAATAATTCTTTATATGTGAGTTTTCTATTAAATTGTATTATATTATTCAGATTGTTGTAATAAATGTTTTTATATGTTTCAATGGCAAATGTTAATTGTTCATTCATATTAAGTATGAGTGAGAAGTGGCAGTAAGAAAAAATTACTAATTGCTGTTGTCCGACTGAACATGATTTAAATATTTAAAAAAATCATTCTTGAGTGCTTGAGTTTATAAAAAAATTTTGATTGTAGATATTTCATATTTGACATAATATTGGTCCGTCCTTGTTTCGTGATTGTTCATAATGCCAAATAATAGATGTTTAGCAGTAATTACTTTTTTAACAATAAATATTGTTGACAATTTGTTGTTGATATATCAAAACTTATGTCGAAACTGTGTTATGTTGATTGTGTGTAACGGGCAGTACCATTCATTTATGTGCTTAAAGTTAAAATTTAGAATGAGCCACCACGTGTGCTAATTGCAAATATATATTTTCTTGATTGAACACACACGCCAAGTGATTAATTGGCATATGCGGTGCCACTTTAAAGTATTAATATATCCTTTAGTCTTATTTTGTTTCTCTATACTAGTATATAATTTTTAATTTACATTGTGAAAAACACTGGTTGTATATTTGATTATGTAAGTATGAAGTCAAAACTTACACAGAAACCCTATGGTAAAAAAAATAAACTATAACATTTACATTTGAGTGAAACATAATACATTATTTTGTATCGTTGTGCATAGTGCATGTAAAATATAATCGATTAATGTCTTTGTTAATTAATTAATAAATAAGTAAAAAACACCATACTTAAAAGACGTGGGTAATCGAATTGTTCCTGTTAATATTACATGGATTCTAAATAAAATATTTTCACATAGAGTTTAGTTTGTTTGATTGGGTTTTAAGTCACATAGACATAGTATAGGTCATATGGCGACGTTCCAGCTTTGCTGGTGGAGGAAGACCTCAGGTGCCTTGACGTGCATTATTTCAGGCACGAACGGACACCTGAGTAGAACCACCGGCAATCCGTAAACTAGAGGAGGCTAAAGGAGCTTCCTCACATTAAAGAATCCAAAGTCTCTGTCGGAATTCGAACCAACAGCGGTTAGGGGAAAGTGGTTTGAAGTCAACGATCTTAATCACTCGGCATAGAGTTTAGTCAAAGTCAACATAAATGAAGTATGAATTTGCCTAAGCCTTAGAATCGTTGCTTTGTGTACATATACCTAATGATGTGTTAAGCCCTCTTACTGTTAGATATCCCCCCTCTTCCATGATATATATACACTATTTATTTTGTTAATCTTGCTATTGATAAAACTATGCTTTAATATTGCTTAAAGTACATTTACCTAGTTATTTTGAAAGACAGACTCTGATTAAAAAAAGAAAAAAAAACACACACACACACAAACACACGCACGCACGCACGCCCGCACGCCCGCACACACACAACAATATATAATTTGTATAAAATTCTGGTATTTGAAATAAAAGGTTTTAAAAGCAAGGCAAGCTTTAAAATTATCTTTGTTTCCCCTCCAGCGACCTATAGCAGTTTGGTTAGGGTAGGTATGTCGATAAAATATTTTGTTTATCCAAAATATTTTTCCTATCAAAATCATTTGGAGTACAAAACAAATTGTAAATGTTTAGATTAGAACCATATTTTCACTTTTAGAAAACATAGATCCTAATTTGTTTATTTACAATAAAAAACATGAGGCAGATATAACAATGTGATTCTCATTGATCCTCTCTGCTACCATGTTTAGTAATAAAAATATGTTTATGCTATCTTATGTGTGAATTTCGATTTTGATATACCAAACTGATTTCTGATTTTTAGAAAAATAAGACTTACCTTGTAAAACTTTGTACAGACATTTGCCAGAAAGCAATTCTATAATCATTTTTTAACGCCATTAGTTCAGTATCGATATCACATTGTCAGCCAATTATTTAACTCAGTAAGAAGATTGACCATGATTAGTTAATAAATTCTATATAAAGGTCATTGATCAAAAGTTATTGTAACAGTCACATTTAGCGTACAATCATTTGCCGCTCAATTACCGTAGAAGGGAATACATGTATGTTTATGAAACTTCAAAGGGTAATTGCACAAGACAAGAAACTTATGCCTACAAGTATCAGTTTTGATGGCGTAAGGTCAAAAGTCAAGGTCATCATAATACTTTCAGTAAAAAAACCTTGCTCGATCGATAACTCGAAGGTATAATTGTAGGTTAGCAAAACTTGGTAGGCAACTGCCTTTCTACATTTTTATGCATCTTACAACAGCTCATACTTACCTTTGGATAAGTGTACTTCAACATGCGACTCTCTATTATGTTTTATGAATTCTATTAGGATCGTTTAAATGTAAAGTGTTCTGTTCAGTACTAAAATAAAAAGTATTCACAGTAATGTAATGCAACTTATATAATGTATGACGCTTCTTGAAAATCACAGACCCCGTATTGTGAGACGGTCGACCATGGCTAGTTAATTTATCCGATATATATAATATTTGAGGTCATTTGATCAAAAGTTGAGGCCACAGTGACGTTTAGCATAAATCATTGACCGCTCAATTGTTTTTTGAAAGAATTAGCTTGTGTTCTTGAAACTTTAAAGGGACATTGCCCATGGCAAATGAATTATCCGTTATAAGACCACTATAACGGAGTAAAACGCGCCCTTGTCGATCAAATTCTGATTAAATTAGCGCAGTTTAGTAAAACTGGGTAGGTTCATTGCCTATTGCTGGTAGATGACCTCTATGACTTTTTATGACAATGTTACAGTTAAACTGGATGTAAAATCCATGCCAGTCAAGAACTGGCCCTACTTTTTTTCTTTGATTTATTTTTCCATTGAGTGCTCTTTTATACGATAGCACAAACGTATACTTATTTTTGGTTTGTAATACTCCGACATGATTTGTAGACCTTTTGCTTTAATGAATTCCAATGTAAGCATAAAAGAGATCGTTCAATGTAAACTGTTTCTCCAGTATTGAAACTTAAGGAACCCACATCAAAGCTTACCGAAATTGTATCTAAAGATTGTCATGTATTACAAGAACATTAAACTCGGCGTGCTTTCTGTTTTGTTTTTCAACGTCTCTCATGTGGCATGTCTCAACTGTAAATTCCGTTGTTGTTTAAAAAAGTCTAAATAGAAGAATTTTACAATGTATTTTAATTTAATGAATATGTAACAACATTTCTATGTCTTTTAAAGAAAAAAATAACAAAGCATCATTCATTTTTTATTTCCTTGCTAAATCTTTTTGTTTTTGTTTGAAGCATGCATTGACGAAGCGTGGGATTCTGATAGAAGACATCATGATATGAATATTTATTTCTATGTACATAGATGAATCAAATATTCACAATTCTTAGTAATAGAAAGAGCATTGAAACACGAGACTATCTGCTTTGTACGAGGGGGCGGTGCCCCTGAGTGTAAATCAGATTGCCGAGTGTTTTGGTGTTGTTTCTTCTTTGTATCATAGGCAAAAAAGAAAAACACGTTCCCTGTCGTCACAATATTAAACCCCAAAATAAGTAACCATTGTTCGAGCATCCGATTATGACTTTTCTATCGTAATCTCTTTCAATAAGTAAACCCCAGAAAAATGAGCCATTCAACGGACATGCTTTAGACAGACAGCGGGTGCATGTTTTGGACTATTTAACTCTGACACGTTATTACTAGTAAAGTCTAAAAATTATTATACATTTTTTCTTTGTTTATTTTATTTATGAAAAATATCAGCTCATTTCCATGTTAAATAATTAAAATTTAAGAAAACCAGAACATTAGATTTAACGTTGTTTTATCTATAATATATAAGTGTTTGGCATAATGTCTTTGTAATTATATTATAGAAAGACAGGTTTTGTAAGTAAATCAAAGGTACAATGTAAGCATTAAAATAAGACCGATATCTTGTTCAGTATTGAAGTATTACAGTAGTGATAACTGAAAATCACTCTAGGGAAATGTATGCTTTGGTAACGTAAACATGTAATTAACAAGCCATTTTCTATGATGACATTTATTAAGTAAGCTCTAACGTTGGTAATTTTTCTTATGGTGATGAAAAACAATGGAATAAGTAAAGATGATTGCTTATGAATAGTTAATGAATTTAATCTATTTTGAGGTCATTAGATCTAAAAAAAAAATATGTCAAATTGACACATGCAAACAATAACTCAGAAAAAAGCGAAGGTTTTTGAAACTTAGTAGGTACATTGCCCATTGCTAGAAGGTGACCCTAATGATTTTGAAGTAATAAGGTCAAAGTTATTTGCATCTTTAAACAGCATATACTTAAAGCACAATTATGTCTCGCTCGTAGTCTCAATTATTTCGACTGCAAGACCGCCCGATTTTATAATCTGATATTTTATAGATGTCTGTCTTTACGTCTCAACCAGTTAGATTCAAAACTGTGTCGGAAATCGAACTGAGCTAAATTTCATTATTTTCACTTCACTTAAACATGAAAATTTTCTCACTGGCATGTACATTTGTTGATATAAACCATAAAAAAATAACAAAAAATAACTCAATAACTTAAATTATCTAAAAAGAACTTAATACGGTACCTGTTACTAAAATGAAGGTACCTGTCGCTAAAATGTAAACAGCGAACGTGATAACCATTGAAAACGGTTGTGATCATTTAAACATGTTAGTACACCCCAGGAAGCTATACGCGGTAAACACATACAAAAGCGCTTTATCACAAAATTAAAGGTGTTGGTAAATATTTTGAATACATTTTAAATCAATATTTTATGCGATGCAGTGGCATTTAACGATTCACCTCTGTGTGTGTGTGTGTGTGTGTGTGTGTTGGTGCGTGCGCGTTGGTGGGTGCGTGCGAGCGTGCTTGCGTGCGTGTGTGTGTGTGTGTGTGCGTGCGTTGGTGTGTGCGTGCGTGCGTGCGTGT